GAAGTCAGAACTCCATCTGTTTGATTTCCAGGGAAATAAACAGAATAAGCATTGTGGGGGTTTTTTGACACAGAAAGAAGTGGAACAGTTTGATACTGGCACTCACCTGCAGAGGGCCTGGAACTAGTTGATAATCTTTAACAGACCCAAAATAGAGACTCTGTAGAAAGAAAAAGTGAAACAATTTACTCATCAGATTTGACTTAAGCAGATAGCTAAAGAAAGACAAAGGTAATGTAACTGCCTGACACAGCAGATTGAATGAGAGAAGAAATTATTCATTATTACATAGAAAATTCAAACATGCAAAGATCTTACAGATAAAACTTAGAATGTGAAGGAAGAAACAGTGAACATTCCAGCCATTTACAAGTTTGAGTCATTAGAAATGCTGAAGTGTTATAGATGAGCCCTATTATTTGCATCCAAAATAATTTCATTTTTGGTAATAATTTCAAATTCCATTAGTCAAACAAGATCAGACCGAAAAAAAAAAAAAAAAAAAAAAGATCAGGCCCATTCAGAGTAGTGTGGCCATAGACCCATTAGTTGAAATGGCATGGCTTTCCTGTTTATAACAATTAGTTATTATTGATGTAATATTTGATGTCTTTTTTAAAAGTGTAAACAAGTGCAGCCACATACTTCCCTAGGGATGGGTAGCAGAGATTGATGTTCTATCTATCTATCTATCTATCTATCTATCTATCCATCCATCCATCCATCCATCCATCCATCCAGCTTGGCCTCACAGTGATTCTCCTGTCTCAGCCTCCCCAGCACTAGGATTACAGGTGTGTGCCACCATGCCTAATTTCAGGGCTGGCATAGCAAGTAGGTGCTTAGACCACTGAGCTATCTCTCCAGGCCCCATTTGATGTCTTTTTATGAGCAATGTTATAGCCCCTTCTTCCATATCATTGTTTTTGGTTTGTCAAATCAGTCTTATTCTTTTATACATTACCTATATTTTTTTCATTATGGAAGTATATCTCATTACAACAAAATAGAAAATAGGTAAATTCATTTCTAATTTTAATACCTATTCAAGAACAACAAATAATTATTGGGTACTGAAAACTAAAACTAATGAGGTGAAGAATTGTGAGCATTCTATTTTACTTTCCTTATTTAATAAAGCTGTGCATTAGTCTTTATATTTTTGCATTTTATAACTGTACTTTTAATAATTTAATAATTTTAATGAACTAAGTCCGAACCACATAGTGAGACCCTATACCACAAAAAATAAAAAATACAAATAAATTTCATATATGTATAAATTATTTCACATATAAGACTTGAGCATTTGTGAATTTTTGTCATCACAAGGATCCTGAAATCTATTTTCAGAGTATAATGAGATAATGATTGTATAAGATATTATTCTAATTATTGTGTACAGCTTATATGTGTAGGTTGTAAGAGATAAAACCCTTTTTTATCTAGCTGACAAAATTACTTTAAAGCTCAACACTGAGAATAATCTGGAAGATGGAAAACTAGTCCTTCCAGTATTAAAATATATTCTAAGAAGACCCTATTGAAAATGAACATTGAAGGGCTGCAAGATAGCTCAATGGACTAAGCACCTACTCACAAGCACAAGGACTGGGATTTGATCCTCAGCACCACATGCCATGCTGGCTCCATCCCCAGGTGTGCCGAACTGGCCACTGAGACCAGGCATGGTGGTGCATGCCTATAATCCCAGCGCAAGGGAGGCTGAAAATATGAACATCACTAGGAGTCCGAACTGTAAGTGAGACCCTGTAACAAGTACATAAAACAAACAAACAAAACCACTGAAATCAGATGTGACAGTACACACCTGTAATGCCAGTGCCTGGGAGGCTCAGGAAGTAGTATTGCAAGTTTAAGCTGAACCTGGGCAATTTAGTGACCTAGCAAGATCCTATACCAAAAAAAAAAAAAAAAAAAAAAAAAAAAGAAAGAAAGAAAGAAAGAAAAGCAAGCAAGCTAGCTAGCTAGCTAATTGACCATATGCACTTTTGTTTTCCTTTCCTAAACCAATTAGAATAATAGTAATGGAATAAAAAAGTAATCTAATTTCTAGGTATACATAGAGACAAGTAAATAAAAGACTTCAATGAGTTTTTCTGATAGCAGAGAAAGTAGTAACCTAAGTATCAAAAAGAAGAATGATAATAAAAAATGAGGCAATTATTTCCTAAAATCTCTGAAAGACTCACCTTTCTCTGTATTCTAGACTAGATCCTTGGAGTACTCCCTACTGTGTGTCACTCAGTGGCAGTTGAGGAAGCCTGTGGAGTCAGCAGGCCCCCCACAGCAGAGGAATGAGTATAAAAACAAATAATCAACTCTATGTTTATTTTTTTAATGTAAAGGTCAGTTCATTAAGCTCAATAATGAAAGCTATCAGAACAATATTCTTCTGACTTTTTCTTTAACAAACAAAAGAAAAAAAAAATTAAAACCCTCTCATAGCCGCAGATGCTGTGGTTGTCAAGCCACTCTGGAAATGGAAACAGTCCATCAATTTGTTACACCACTCCCTGGATCAGCAAGACTATGGTCTGGATCACTCTCCAAGTCATCCATTTCCTGGAACAAAGAGTAATTTGCTTTCACATCATTCCCAGCATCCTCTAAGAACTGGGTATCAGGTGTGTCAAGATTGTGATCTGTTTCAAACAGCTGTTTGCCATTTATTTTTTCTCCTTTTTTTGCTTTCTTCTTAATTCACAAGAGCTCTACATCAAGCTTGGTCTTCCAACAAAAATTCTTAATTATAACCGGGGTCTTATGGGATAACTATTCCTCTGCTTCTTTTGCTTTTAGTTTTTCTTCCTCTCATTTTTATCTGATCCACTATTTAATTCTTTTCTTGCATCACTCTCACTAGAGTAAAGATCATGACCACACCAAATTTTCTTCAGCCTGCAATGCTAAAAATTTTTAAATGTCTCTGACATCATTATCTTTTAGATTTTGATGAGAGAATGTTTTATAAGGTGGAGCTTCATCTGAGTATTGTATGTAAACTTGAAGGTAGTCTAGACAGTTACATCATTTTCTCCAGCTCAGATGTCACAATAATGGTGATGCTGAGTGGGTTTTCTGATAATACTGTGGAATCAGGGTAGATGGACTCCAGACACCTCAAGTTCTTTTCCTTACTCCTCACTGTTAGCATCATTGCTGCTGATGGATCACAAGGACACTTAGGCTGTGGGCTACAGTTGAGTGCAAAGCCCCAAGTCTACATATTGAATCAATGAAAGTCAAGTTCTTTTCTCATTGCTCACCAACAAAGTACATGTGCACATACATACTCATAATTCCCCAGAAGGACCAGAAGATTCTTCTCTCCAGACAATACATATTAAAAACTCCAGAGAAAAGGAGTATGTTGAGATTCCAAAAGGAAAAATCCCTGCTGGTAATGTTCACTAGTTGACAAGATCACACACAGAAAGCTTTGAATTTCTTTATTATAGTCTTACTCTTAAGATATAAATGGAGAGCCAAAGATCACTAAACAGCTCAAGATAGCTTCTATCGAGAAAGACTTCTTTTTTTTTTTAAAGGAATATAAAACTATTTATTGACCACTGCTCACCATTATTTACAATAAAGTAAACAATATACATTAGGATAACATTCTGACTACTACAAAGTTGTTTTCCTGGCTTCTGCTGAAAACAGTAACTCGAATACTGAAGATTGAACCTACATGTAAGGAACAAGTTGGGATCAAGAAACAACATGCAGGTCAATAGTTTAGATTACAAGTGTGTCCGCTCATTTATTCTAGGTCTTAAACTGTGAACGCCGCCAGCCACTCGGTAGGTTTCTGACAGCCAAATCAAGACATACATGAATCCTGACTTTTGAGTGCAGATTTCAACTTGCTGTGAAGTAATGAGTCTTGAGGAATTTTTAATGTTCCCTTGTTAAGTCTTAGCAAATTCAAACAAACCAAGTTTTGACTTGCTACCTTATTCGGGTGGGAAAGTTGTTGGTAGAGATAAGAATTTTTTTTTCTCTTTTTGAGTCAGGGTCTCACGATACAGTTCAGGCTGGCCTTGTGCTCACTTTGTAGCCCAGGCTAGTCTTGAACTCCCAGGATCCTCCAGCTTCAGCCTCCCAAGGGCTGGGATTCTAGGCATGCGCCACCATGCCCAGCTAGATAAAGACTTTTTTTGCAGGGGAGTTTTGGAAGTAAATTGCATTTTTGTGACTAAAGACAGATGCAGATTCTGATATGGCCGCTTTGAAAATACCTACTTTAAACTGTCCAATTAACCACAAAACCATCTATTTAACTTAAAAGGTTATGGCTTCAGAAAACTTTCTATTTAACTGGAAGTGATTTCTTACGTTGCTTAGAACGATGATGTCTCAAACATGAGGTTATCACTCATAGTTTTTGTTTTGGTGAATGTTTAAAAACAAAACAAAAACCACTTACATAAGAATTTTATTTATATACACACAAACAAAAAACTCAGAATAGTCCTTAAGTATATGAGCTAAAACATGAGTTGGACTATGGACAATTCCCCCCAACATTTAGAGAAGCAGAGGAAATGTATCAGGCTGCCAAATGCTCTTTTCTGATAAAGGAAGCAACTACAAAAGCTTTATTTGTTCAAAGTAACCAGTGCTATAGATGCAAAACAAACAAAACCCAACAACTCCCCCAAATACTACTTTTAAAACTGACATATTAAACTTGATTTTCATTAGAATGTTTTTTTTCACACTAGTAAATCAAAACCAAGACCCATATTTTATATATATATATAAATATATATATAAATGATGTAAGTTATTGAGCTTCATCTTCTGGACAAGAATGCCAAGTTAGCCTCTCTTCATAAAAAGCAATGATGATTTGAGGACATTTCATATTTGCCTCTTTTGCCAGCACCAAGTCAGCCTCATCTGAATCTTTCCATTTCATGAGAAACATCAATTCTCCACTACTATCTGTGGCGCCAATTATTCGTTCAGGATCAAGACCTCTAGCAAAACCTCTAGGTTTGTCATCAGCATCTCTTTTTTTCTTTGACTTGCTGTCATCAGATTCACTGTCAGATAAAGATTTTCTTTTTGTACCATCTTTTTCTTTACCAGCTTTTTGCGAATTAAGAAATGCTTCAATTAACTCTGGACAATCTAAATTTTCTTCAGGTTCCCATGTATTGTCAGCATCTGTAAATCCCTTCCACTTCAGAAAATACTCCACCTTCCCATTCACTACACGTCAGTCCAGTACTTTCTCTACCACAAACTCTTCAGGTTCTGCTTCCTCAACTTTTTTACTTTTTCCATTTTGTTTCTTTCCCATTTTTTGCAATGTAGTTTTATTGGAGGCCATTTTTTTCTGCAGACTTGAAGAGTTCACCGCCTTGGACGCTCGGTCGTGGGTCCACAGTCTCGGCCTGCGCGCCTGCAGCTCCACTCGCACCCGAGCACCGAGAAAGACTTCTGTCAGCTAGGTATGGTAGAACATGCCTATAACTTCAGCATTCTGAGAGTCTGAGGCAGAAAAATCACAGATTTGAATCAAGCCTGGGAAATGTACTATTTAGTGAAACTTGTATTAAAAATTTAAAAATATGAAGGGCTAGAGTTGAGGCTCTGTGCAAAGTCCCTTAATCCTCAACAATGGGAAAAACAGGAGAAGGGAGAGGCAGATGGAGGGGAGAGGAATATAAAAGAGGGTAAGGGAAAGTAGTTCTTTAGAGAGGTTAGGAATGGCAGTGCATGTTTATAATCACAGTAGTAAGAGGGTTGGGCAGGAAGATTGAGAGTTGAAAAAAATTGAGAAACAAAACAAAATACTTCTAATCTAACCCAGAAACAAACAAACAAAACCAAACAAAAACTGGGCATAGTGGCACATGTATGTAATTCCAGCACTGGGGAGGAAGTGGTGTAAATTCAAGTCAACCTGGGCTATTTAGAAAGTTCAAGGCTGGACTACACAGTGAAAACCTGTTCTCAAAAAAACCAAAACACAGGGCTGGAGATATAGCTCAGCAGCATAAGTGCCTGCTTGGCAAGCGCAAGCTTCTGAGTTTGATCCATGGTACCACAGGATGAGGAGGAGGAGGGAGAGGGGGAGGGGGAGGGGGAAGAGGAGGAGGAGGAGAAAGGAGAAGGAGAAGGAGAAGGAGAAGGAGGAGGAGAAGGAGGAGAAGGAGGAGGAGGAGGAAGAGGAGGAGGAGGAGGAAGAAGAGAAGAAGCAGCAGCAGCAGCACACACAGAGTAGCAGGAGACAAAGATAATATATGATATAGGGAGGAAAATAAAGCAAAACACACCACTTTAAAATCCTCAGAGATAAAATATTGCTGCCATGAAAAAAAAAATGCAGACTATCCCTAAGGAAGAAATGATAAAAGAATAACAAAGAACCCTTGATGGTGATGGGGTAAGAGGGTGGCTAAAGTTTTTAAAATATTGACTAAAAGGAGCTAGGCATAATGAAACTATAATCCTAGCCCTCTGAGAAGCTGAGACAGGAGAACCACAAATTTAAGCCCAGCCTGGGCAATTTAACAACTGAAAGAGACCCTGTCTCAAAAATAAATAAAAAAGAATTTTGGATGTCACGCAGTGTGAAGGCCTTGGCTTTAGTCCCCAGAGGAGAAGGAGGGAGGGCTATTAGATGTGAGCATTGCAGTAAATGCAACTTGGAAGACCAAGATCCACAATGGAAGAACAGTGAAGGGAGGCCCCAGATGCCAGCTGCATAGGACAAGTAGTTCCTATTTCAGATAGACAATGAAGGGCTCTGGAAGGAAATCTCTAGGAGGAAAAAACATTACTATTATTCAGCATAATATTACTATGTTCAGTCATACAGCAAAATGTTAGAGCAGCTAAGAGAAAAATCAATGGTATACATTGTGAAAATTAGGTAATAAAAAGTAGCCATTACACTGCATTCTTGGTTTGTGACAGTACATTCTAATCTTTGCATCTGTCTTCATATTGTCTTCTCCTCTGTGTGTATGTTCAATCTTTCTCTGACTCTCCCTTAAAAAGTAACCTGTGATGGCATTTAGGACCCTCCCTGATAATTAAAAACAATCTCATCTCAAATCCTTAGTCACATATGCAAAAGCTTTACCATATGAAGTAACATTCACATGTTCCAGGGATTAGGTCTGTTATCTTTGGCAGGAAAAGGGGGGTTATCGTTCAGCCCAATGCAATCAAAACGACATTTCAAATCTATGTGAAAGGGATATGTTATCCAATAAGTAATGTTAGGAAATATGCTATCTAGTTGAAAATAATTATTTTGAAACTTAGATTTTGTGAGAATGGTTAAAAATTTAAATACTACAACCTTAATATGATACAATGTGAAAATCTAAGTGAACCTTTTATAAATTTGGGATCAGAGATATTTCTAACATGAGAGCAGGCAAGAAAACCATGCAAGAAATGGCTTAGTAGGCATCATGAAAATTCAAAACAAATACAGTATAACAAATGGACAGTAAGTGTTATGATTCATGTCTGGATGTGTGTTTTGGTTTGGGAAAAAGTTTGTCTACATTTTACTCATGTCCAGAGACTTTGCCAGAGCCTGAGATTATGGGTGGACTAATAGATCTAGCAAAAGAAATTTCAAGGCAATTGAACATTGAAGCAGTCACATGCCTATAGTTGGAGCTTTTCCCCAGATGTGGAGAATCAAGAGCACAGGGTCCAGGAGAATGATTTAAAATGTTTCAAGGATCAGTAAGATAGCTCAGCAGACTAAGTGCTTGCTGAGGTAAGTGCAGGGGCCAGGGTCAATCCCTGGCACCACATGCCATCCTGACCCTGCCACTGGGCACACTAAGACAGTGATGGAGTCCAGATGTGGTGGCCCACACCTGTAATCCCAGCACTAGGAAGTCTGAAAACAGGAGGATCAGGGCCAGCCAAATAGCTCAGTGGATTAAAGCACCTGTAAGCAGGTGCAGTGGCCGGAGGTTCGATCCCAGGGGCCTGTTGTGCCAGCCCCGCCCCCAGAGCACACCGAGATGGTGAGACTAGGTATGGTGGCGCACACCTGTAATCCCAGCTTTTGGGATGCTGTAAACAAGCGGATAACTATGAGTCCAATCTAGTAGTGAGACCCTGAACACCCTGCGGACTGTTCCCTAAAAAAATACCAAAAAAAAAAAAAAAAAAAAAAAAAAAAAAAAAGGAAATAGGAGACAGATCTTCCTAAAATGGAAGGGGATCAAGGACTGGGGGGGCATTAAAATGGGAATTAATGCACCAGTGAGCCTAGCATGTAAGTCTGTATGAATTATAACAACAACAACAAAAAAACCCAAAAAACAGGAGGATCACCCGTACAAATCCAAGATGTGTAGTCAGACCCTGCACAATAAATAAATAACCATGACCCACCCCCCGCCCTGCCCATCCGGCACGACCTCTGGTCAGCTTAATCTAAGGGCTGAGTCTCAGCTGCTGAGAGTTGAGGACCATCCAGATGCAGCGGGGCTCAGCACACGCGGACATTGAGGGCCAGGACAGCACGGACCATGGCGCTGAAGCAGATTAATAAGGCACTTAGTGATTTGGCCCAGGACCCTCCAGCACAATGTTCTGCAGGCCAAGTTGGGGATGATATGTTCCACTGGCAAGCCACAATTATAGGACCTAATGATAGCCCATACCAAGGTGGTGTATTCTTTTTGACAATTCATTTTCCTACAGACTACCCCTTCAAACCACCTAAGGTTGCATTTGCAATAAGAATTTATCATCCAAATATTAACAGTAATAGCAGCATTTGTCTCAATATTCTAAAATCACAGTGGTTTCCTGCTTTAACTATTTCTAAAGTTCTTTTATCCATTTGTTCACTGCTATGTGATCCAAACCCAGATGATTCCCTAGTGCCAGAGATTGCATGGATCTATAAAACAGACAGAGACAAGTACAACAGAATATCTTGAGAATGGACTCAGAAGTATGCCATGTGATGCTACCTTAAAATCAGAATAACCTGCATTATAGCTGGAATAAACTTTAAACTACTGTTCTTTTTTTGATTTTCTATTCTGGCTGCTACCCTATCAGACCTTGTCTTTTTTTAATTTTATTTTTTGTTTACCTTCTTCCATTCATTTACATGCTCATCTGAGAAGACTTCATTTCTTCCAGCTTTGGACAACAACTGCTTTTAGAAACTGTAAAGTAGTTACAAGAGAACAGTTGCCCAAAATTCAGAACTTTTTTAAAAAATGGAGCATGTGTATTATGTGGCCAATATCTTCACTCTAACTTGGTTATGAGACTAAATCATTCCTCACAGCTCTAACTGCTGAAGAAGCCATCTGATGGGGTGAGGGGGGAGATGGATGTTCGGTTATCTTGGCAAGGAAGCATTATTCTAGCAGCATCCATTCTTGTTAAGCCTTCCACTGTTAGAGATTTGAGGTTATATGATATACTTTATGCTCATAACTGATGTGGCTGGAGAATTGGTACTGAATTTATAGCATCAGCAGAACAGAAAATATGATATATTTTATGCATGTCAATAAAGGAATGACCTGTTCTTGTTCTACAGAGAATGGAAATTGGAACTCAAACACCCTTTGCACTCCAAAGTAGGGTCTCAAAACATTTTGTAATTTTCATTTAAATTGTTAGGAGGCTTGGAGCTATTAGTTAATCCATCTTCCAATACACTGTTTAATATAGCACTGAGAAAATGATGCAAGTTGTCAATGGATGAGTGATCAACTAATAGCTCTGCTAGTAATTGATTTATTTTTCTTCAATAAAGTTGCATAAACCAATGAGTTAGCTGCCTGGATTAATCAGTATGGGAAACAATTTTGTAAATGCAAAGCTGGCTCTTTTTTTTTTGTATGTACTATTGGGATTTGCTTCATTGTTTGACATCAAATAATGATGTAAAATTCAAGAGTGACTATTTGCCATGTTCGGTTAAAAGTGCAAGTCTGTTACAGGTTTACCTGTCGTTTTCTGACTTATGCAGAACTAATAAGCTTATTCAGATAGTGTAGCTTCAGTGCACTGCACATTATATACTGGCAGCCCTGGAGATCAGAGATGGACTTGGGGCCCACCAGCTTTGAAATGTGTGTATGGAGTTGAAGTTTATTTTCCAGGTGCATCCCCCATCTAAAATGTCTTCACATTGTATACTTGAAAACTTAAAACCGTAACATGACAGTAATAGTGGGTCAAAATTTACACAATAAAGTATACTGTTTTGGTGTGGGAGTTGTCATGAGGCTGTGTTGAAGTGACTTTACTGTGTGGGATTTGAGTACCCATTGAAATTTATTTGTTCAGCTGTTTACTTTAACAAGCATTACAATGCAGCAGATACCATTGCAGGCAATGTCTCA